GCCGCGTTCAGCGCGACGGCGCTGTACATGCCCGCCGGCTGGTGGCACTGGGTGGTGGGGCTGACGGACTGGCACGTCGTGTATGGCGGCTCGTACTACCCGTCGACGCCGGTGGAGCCGTGACCGCCGGCTGGGCGCAGTGCCGCGTAGCCCGTCGCACGGGCTGGCAGGCAGGGGCGCTTGCCCCGCCCCACCCCTTCAAAACACACACACATACACCCAACACACCCCACACAACACATACACACCACACATGCACACACACGCAAGCACGCACCCCCCACACACACACACGCGCGTGCGCACACACACATGCATGAGCGGGCACTCCACACACATCCACCTCACAAGGGTGCCTGCCTCCGAGAATCAATCGTGCTGCCTGGCTATTATTTATCAACGGTTTATGAGTGACAGAGAGGAGTGTATGTCGCACGACCCCTTGCGTCGTGCCTGGCCAAACCTCTGCATGAGGGTCCGTCCGCTCACACTTTGTGCCCATGCACAGTCAGCGGTTTTTGGTGGTTTACTCCACTCTGGTACCTTATCCTGCCTTCGGCATCCGCAGCGGAGGGCCCTGAGTCAGCGAGGCGCCCTCTATGCCCACCTCCCGGAAGCGCTCGGCAGCGCCGTGGGCTCGGGGCCGCCCAAGGGCGCACCAACCGTCACCCCGTCTGCAATTAGTCGCGGTGCGGTGGGCCCGGTGGCCTGCCAACAATGCAGGCACGGGCGCTGGCGGTGTGATCAGTGATCTGTTGGGTGCATTGTGGACAACAGAGGGGTGGCAGAGGGCGTCGGAAGAGCGCGTGCGCGAGTGAGCGAGTTCCTGTCGATCGCGATTGCATGGGTGACCAGCGGTTGGCATATTGGCAAGCAAGTTGACTGTACTGCTGTAATCAGGGCCTGTGATCGAGCGACGCAGTCCCAGGGGTCACATACGCGTGTATGCCCATTCGATGATGGCTGCCCGGGGCTCGCGAGCAGCGCTGGGGCCGCGCCAGGGCAGCCGGGCAGCAGGCAGAAAGGGCGGCACCCGTGAGGCTGCCGAGTGACGGTGGCCGATACCCGATTGCAGCTTTGATGTGAGGCCCCGTGGCAGGTCACCAGGCCACGCATAGGTTGGGATCACAGTTCAACAGCTGAATCACAACTTTGCCTCACGCAACATCATGCGCACGCTGCGCTCCTGCTGCCCTGACCAAGGGTAGTGTTTGTGTGCAACCGTACCCCCTGCAGCGGAGCTTTGTCTTGCTGATCCGTTCCCCTACTGCTAGTGTATAAGTTTGTGTCATCATCCAATATACTTTCCCGTTGCACCGGCCTGCGGCTATCCCTCTCTAGGCGGTAGAGTTGGGGAGAGGCCGGGGTGAGAGCGAAGGGACCAGCCCCGCCTCCAGCCTCCCGCCAGCAAACGTCCTTATTGCAATTTTTGATAGCATCGGTGCAGCACCCAGGGCCCATCCCACCGGCCGGTTTTCGTCACCCGAAGGCCTTTGTGTCCGGAGGTGGAGTTTGGCCCCGCCGGGGTCTGATCGCGTGTGACGCGCGGTCACAAGGCCAATGGTTCTGAACTGATGAACCGCAAGCGCTCAAGGCCGCTGGATGGCGACGAGTGCTGTGGGGAGCCGCTCCCTCCCGCGCTCGCCGCCACGGCGTCGGCCCATGGCCCCGCAGCCACATCGCCCCGCACGCACAGCGATGCGCCGCAGTGGCCCGGTTGCAGCCAGGGCACCGCCTGCGCCGTGGACAGCGGCAAAGTGCGCGCCGATGAGATGCCAATAGCTTGGCTAGAAGCTGACGCAGCAGCGGTCTTGCACGGGATTCTGCGCAGTGGCCGCAATGGCGGCAAGTGCGCCGATGGCGTGAATGGCAGCGCCACCCTCGGCGCGGCCGCCGCGGCGCTCGTGCGGGCCGACCTGATGGGATGGCAGTCGCAGTATCAGCAGCAACAGGAGCAGCGGCAGGAGGAGCAGCAGCAGGAGCGGCGGCAGGAGCAGCCACAGGGCAACCACATGCAAGCAGACGACAGGGATGACGAGGGAGAGGAAGAAGACGACCTGGCGCCGGCCGCCTGGCGGCCGCCCCCGCCGCTGGCAGGCAGCGGCGCCGCCGGCAGCGGCAGCGCCGCCGACGGGGACGAGGATGGGCACAGCCCTGGCGCAGGCGGGGCGCTGATGGCGGCCGTGGCTGCGGGCGCGCCCGCGCCGCCTGGATGGCTGACTTGGGCGGTGGTGAGTGGCGCCAGCGGCCCGGCCGCAGCATGCATTGATATCAGATTTCAGCCCAAGCAGGAATGCAAGATAAACAACCCAAGCCGGCAGCTTGTGACGATGCTTGCTTTTGGCTCTGTTGTTTGGTGCTCCGCCGTGGCAGTTTGGGCCATTGGCCGGCAAGCCCGGTCTCATCCCTGTTGACCCCTCCACCACACCCCTCCTTGCCGGCTAAGGCCGCCATGACCTTGAGGCCACACCCTCCCATCGACACACCCACTCACCCACTCACAGGACACGCGCATCACTAAGACCGCCGTGAACCTCGGTGTGAAGATCCCACGGGCCATGCTTGAGTCATGGTGGCCGGGCAGCGTGTTTGCGCTGCCGGTGCGGCTTTCGGTGCGGCTGGTTGCGGATGGGCGCCCGTACGGCGATGTGACGCCCGTCAACCTGCGGTGAGTCATCAGATTGATCATAACCGCCAGATTGTGGCTGCATGGTGTGTGCGCGGGGGCGTGTGTGTGTGTGTGGGGGGGGGGGGGTCGGGATAAAAGTGCATGTGTGGCTGGGTGAAATATGAGCGGGTGAGCATGGACATTTTCACGTGCAACTGTGTTGACAGGCGGCAAACCTAGGAACGGGGGTTCACGACCAGCGGCGCTTGTCCCACACCAGCCAGCCGACAAACGGCGACGCATGAGCGCAGCCCCATGTTCAGTCGCCGGGCGGCAATCCCTCCCTCGGACCTCACTCAACAGCCCCGCTCAACGTGCCCGGCCCCGTCTTCCGCCCTCGGCCCCCCCGCCTCTGCCACGCAGCGCCGACCGCCGCTGGTCAATGGGCCGCCAGCTCAAGTCGTTCCTAGGCGCCCGCATCGTCCGCTATGCGCGCCTCGCCACCGACCCCTCAAGCCTTGAAGTCCACATCTCCACCGGCCACGACGCCGTCGCGGCCGCCGCAGCTGCCGCGGCCGCAGCGGCTGGCGCAGCCTCGGGCGCGCCGCGCGGGTGGCAGGCGTGGGGGATCGGGCACGGCGTCAGCGGGGGGTGTGCAGCGGGCAGGGATGACGACGACGAGGACGATGATGCCACCCAGGACCAGGCAATGCAGGCGGAGCATGGGGAGGAGTCCGAGCAGCTCGCGCTGGGGGCTGGGGCTGCAGTCGGCGCCGCCGCCGGGCCGGCGGCACACGCGCTGGCGCAGGCGCACCACGCCACGCACGTGATGGCGGCGGCGGCGGCTCTGCTGCAGGACCAAGGATCTGGGGCGCCGCCGCAGCTGCTGCACCAGCAGCAGCAGCAACAGCAGCAGGAGCAGCAGGAGCAGCAGCAGCACGAGGAGCAGCACGCGCCGCCAGTGGCGGCGGCGGCGGCGGACGACATTGTCAGGGAGTTTTCAGGGACTGCGCCGCACTTTGCGCACCCGCAGGCGCAGCAGCTGCTCCAGCGGCCCTCAAACGGCGCCGACGACGGCGCGGGGGTGGAGTCGGCGGCGGCCATCTTCTTGGCGGCCGTCAACGCGGCAAACTTGGCCGCGGCGATCGATGACGCGCGCGCCGCCGCGGCCGCGGGGCTGGGCTCAGGCGCGGCCGCGGCCGCGGCGCCCCATCCGCCGCCGGCCGCAGGGGCGCCACTCGCCAGCTTGGCCGCCGCGGCCGACGCGGCCTGCCGCCAGCCGCTGGCCGCGATCCGCGGCGGCGGCGGCAGCGGCAGCGGCAACGAGCGCCGCCGCGGCGGCGGCGGGGCTCGCGCAGCAGCTGCCGCGGCTGCCACCGCAGCGACGGCGGCGCCTGAGGACGGCCAGGCGGTCGCCGCGCGGCTGCGGGCGTTGCAGTTGCCGAGCATCGCGCCGCCGCATGTCGTGGACAATGTGTTTGCCGTGTCCGGGGTTGTGGCCGCGGCGCGCGAGGCCTACCAATCTGTCTATCAGATCGCCTTGGCCCTCGGCCTGCCCCCGCGCCGCCGCGTCGCGGCGTGCGCCGCGGCAAAGGCCGCGACGCGCGACGCTTTCGGGTGCGCGGCGTTCGTCAACGGCGACTTTTGGCTGCTGCGCGCTGCCTGCGGGCGCGGGGATGTGGACGAGGTGCGGGCGTGGATGGAGCAGCACGAGGGGGCTGCTGGTGCCGGCGGCGGCGGCGGCGGCGGCGACGGCGTGTGAAGCCCCGAGCGCCACCTGCAAGCGCACGCCTGGGTCTCGGGCTGCACGGCCCGGCTGCACGCGGGGAGCTGCAGGGAACGCCCGCTTGCGGCCTGCCGGCCGGCATTCACATGCTGACATCCGAGCCATCAAACACAACCACGCAAGCGCCGCAGCCCCTTCTGGCTGCTGGGGGCAGGCACAGCTCACGCCTCGTTGGGGGGCTCCCCCCCTTAAAACCCTCTGTTGTCCCCCCCTTTTGCTGTGAGCACCCAATTTCTTGGACGCATGCCATTCCATACGCGGCCCCGCCGCTGCAGGCGCCGGGCCTGCGCACTGAGGCACGCGGTCCCCTGCAGCCCGCTACACTGCAAGCGCAGGCGGCTGGGGCGCTGCCCTGACGCCTCAGGGTCGCGCCACGTATGGGCAACCCCCTTTGGGGTCGGGCTCGCACCACGCCGCGCCCTCCTCGATTCGCCCGCGGGCCCTCGTCCCCAGTTGGTTGCGTGTCGGTTTCGTTGCACACATTCAGGTTTGATCGATTTGCATCCAGTCTAAAACCGCCAACTGCCTTGAAATCACAGGGTGATTTGCTTTTAGACGACCTCACCGCTGCCTCGCCTTGCACCTCCGCCTCAGCAGCAGTCCACAAGCCTGCGTCCCGCCCATGCTTATGCCCTATTTGCCTTGCACACATGCGGCCAACTGGCCCAACCTGGGCGGCGGTGATATGCCCCCGCCCCCTTCGCAACAGCGGCTGGGCGGTTATGTATGCATCCCTCTCCCCTTTCATTGTCTTGACATTGCAGCATGTTTGTATATGTGCACTCGCGACGCCCCGCCAAGCAGGCGCGCGGCTGCTGTGGCCCGCGTGCCATGTGTGCACATGCTAATGCTGATCAGCCTCTGTGCGATTGGGCTGCACAGTTTGGGTGCATGATGTGTTTCGGAGCCGAGGCCACTGCAAGACAGGCGGGGGCAAGCAGTCGGGCTGCCCGCGCCGCGACCGCCGCTCCTTACGCCCATAGGCGCCATGCGGCGCGGCACACACGCACGCACGCACGCTGCGGCGTGAGTACTGCAGGCGCATGGCGAGGCGGCCACTCCATTCACAGCGGCCACTCCCTTCCGGCGCGTGCGTCTGGCTGCGCGGCCGCGCGCAGTTTCGCTGCTGCTTGGCTGCCCCTGCCGTCCCAACGTTGCCAGCCCAGCACATAAAAGTAGAAAAGCTGCACATATTCCCGCTGTTTCGGGCTCCTGGGGTGGCACCTCCCGCACGCCCCAGAGCGCGCCCAAGCCATCTGCATATCTGCCTCTGGATTACCTCCGCCATTTCAAATTGTGTGCAGCACTTCGCACATATGCAGCGCCTGACAACACCAGGCCCCTTTCTGCGCCCGCAGCCGCCCCTTCGGACTTGCTGTAGCACCCTTGCCCGTGAGGCGCAGCAAGGCGGCGGGCGCTGCGCTCTCCCGCGCCGCCGCTTAAATCAAACCCGCCTGCAATGCGCATCTGTTATGTGTTATCGCTCCCTGGCGGCAGCTTCGGGTTCGCCTGCACTGCAGTGCCCGCCCAGCCAGGTGCTCCTGCTTCGCACCTTTGTCCCTTTTCGACCTTCCTGGAAGCTGCAAGCAATCGCCAATTATTCACGCCGCGATTTTGCATGGCTGCGCTTGGATGTATGGTTGTGGGCCGTAACTGTTGATGACGAGCTTGCCAGTCGTATTCAAGGGGCCCAAGGGGATGTAGGACGGTTGGCCAGGGGTGCGGGCGAGGTAGAAATATGGTGAGAAACATCAACGCGGACACTAGGGATGTACTAGGGAATGCGTGCTTGGAGTGATCCACTTGCACAGAGGAAGTCATGGGCAGCACTGTGTGGTGTGCACAGCGACGACGGCCCTGCAGGCGGGGGAGGTTGTGAAGAATGGGAGGCCCCAAAACAAGTCTGGCACGGGATATGGGCAACCCACCATGACAGCCCAGGTGGCACCCCAAATCAGGCTGCACGTGATTTTTTTGCGCTTGACAAGCTGATGTGGGTCACAAATTGGAGCGGCCAGCTGTTGTGGTGACGATTCGTGGCTTGTGACCTTGCGTCCAGGCTGGTGACTGTGTTGCTGGGTAGCTCGGCTTGTGCTATTGTATGTGTGCGCTTTGTGGACAGTTGCTTGCTGCCATTTCGTGCCCCTGCCTTCTACTTCCGCCTCCCTCAAAATTCTTTCACAAAATCACAACACACATATGCACCTGTTACCCTTCCGACTGGGATCGCTGCTGGCTTGACCAGTGCCTCTCATGCCGTCAAACAAGCCAAGCCAGCGCAGCGAGGACATTGGCCGGTCTGTAAGGCAACGCAGAGCAACCCAAAGGGGCTGGATGAAAAGTTGCCCTGCTGAGCCCGGCAATGGTCTGTGCATACTGCATGCTGACTCAGATGGCGGGGCTGTGAAGGTAACCAGTGTACTGCGAGGGGACCGATGGTTGGCATGGGTGATTAGTCTTGCAGATTGTCCGAAATCAAGGATTACATCCCGCACGCGGGCCTTCTTCGGCTAGATCACGCGCAGTGCCACGGCCTGGCGGGCCTTTCTGAGATCAAAGACTCACACGTGACAGAAGCACAGCTCCAGAGTGATCTAAATTATAGCTGCAGCTCTCCTGTGCTTTGCGACCACACCGGGTTGTTGCAGCAGCTGCTCCCACACAGAGAGAACTTCCAAGTATATCATTTGCACAACGCAGGCGTGATTTGGCACGCGATGGAGCTGCTCGTTGTGCTGAGCGTAGCAGTGGTGAGTCCCGCTGCGCCGGGCCGGCCGCTACGTTTGCGCGCACGTCGCCTGGCCAACCCACGGCCGCAGTGCAGTACACCCGGTGTGGCACGGCTCGCCGGCCCCGATCATAGGCGCTGGTGGGGACATACGTGGCGAAGTCGATGCTGCAGTTCTTTGGCCGCTTGGACAGAGAGGTGGTGGCGCCTTTCCAGCCGCTGCTGGAGGACCCCGACTCGCTCAAGCCGGTGCGATTGTGACGGCGTACGCACATCTGCATGCGAGCGCATGCGAGCGCATGCAAGCAGCGCGCTGATTTCAGGGGTTGGCAACCAACGGAGGCGACGTCAGCAGGTGGTTCGGCGGCGGCGCGCCCTCGATAGCTACCGCCCGCTCGAGTCCCCGCGGCTCCCCCGCGCACCCACGCGTGCGGCGGCAAGCACAGCAAGCACCTCTTGCCGCGCCTGTGATGCCCGTTTGGATGCGCCGGCAGGGATTCAGGCGGGCGAGCACGGGCCCGCCTTTCTCCTTGTCGCCTTCCGCGCCCACGCCCCCGGCGCGCGGCCCCGCCGGCGCCCCCCCGTCCCTCGCGCGCAGCTGCCGCGCCCCTCCATCGCGTCGGAGCCCACCAAGAGCCTGTCCATCATAGTGCCGGCGTACAATGAGGAGGACCGGCTGCCAGCCACCCTCGACGAGACGCTCGGGTGCGCCGGCCCCGCCTCTGCCTCAACGGTTGGGGTAGGCCCGCTCACCGAATGGGCATGGCCCCAAGCGGTCGGATCGCCCATGCCCACCTTGCGCCATCCTGTTGGCAGTTGGAAGCCGCGTGCAAACACAGCGGCGCGACGGCCCGGCATCCTCACGTCTGTGCAGCCGCCGCGGGGGGGGCAGGCCTCTATAGTTCGCAACCGAGCAAGCCCCTGCCTCGGCGCAACCATAGCCCTCTCCCCGGCCCTGCTTCACACACATACACACACACAAACACACAAACACACACATGACATAAACAAACAACACCATCACCACCCCTGTGCACCCGCGCTGCGCGCGCGCAGCTACCTCGAGCGGCGCCGCAACAGGCAGGGCCCCGCGTTCACGTACGAGGTTATAATCGTCGACGACGGCAGCAGGGACGCGACGTGCAGGGTGGCGCTGGACTATGCGCGCCGCAACGGCGTCGACGCAGTCCGGCTGCTGAGGATGCCTCACAACAGGGGGAAGGTGGGGGGGCGGGAGGAAGCGCCGCTGGGTGACACCCAGGACTGGAGGGAAGCAGAGGGGGGTCGCGGAGAGCGAAGGGGGT